GGTGTATAACAACACTGCCGTGGGCTAGATGCTAGACCACAGTGTTATTGACTTTCCATAAGCCAACCTATCTTGACTTTGAAATCTCTGATGCATTGTTAAATGGAAATAGAACAGATCAGAACAAAATGCACAAAATACTTTCACGTGGTTACACAGACCCACTCATGGCCATTCTGTATTCTCAAGGGTATTTTAAATAACTATGGATTCAACATAACTAATAATAAAAATTATTTTGATTTTTTTTGTTTTTATTAATGAATTCTGCTCCTCTGGTTTCCCTCCAACTTCTTCCCACTCCCTCTTCTAGTCTACAAATTTTCCCCCTCAAATTTACAACACTTTGTTTTGCTTTATGTCTCACAGAATTGAACTCGGACTATTCATGTGACCATGAAGTTGAGACAATACATTAGAGGCTGGAGTATTCAGCAGTGGTTACAAAACTGGAGACTGTGCTCCCCCACCCTCACCAGTTCCAGAATCTGTTAGGGGAGTCATGGCATCAATGGGGTTTCCCAGCTGTAAACTTCATGTAGATTATTTTAAAGATTTTATATGGATGGGTGTTTGCCTGTATGTATGTGTGTAAATGGAACCCACAGAGACTGGAAGAAGGGACAGATCCCCTGGAAATGGAGTTACAGATGGTTCTAAGTCACTACATGAGTGCTGGGAATCCAGTCCTGGTCCTCAGGAAGAGCAGTAAGTGCTCTTAACTACTGGTCCAACTCTTTGGGGCAATTTTGGTAATGTTTATAATGAATTTGTTAGTGTTTTATTAGTAATTTAGGCTTTTAAAACTCCTATCACAATGATTCTAAAAGGCAGAGACACTGTGCACACAACACACCCACTCAAGACTGAGCTGTGAGTGGCCATAGCTAGGTCCCTTTTTTGGGTGGAAGGCAGAGGAAAGCTCTGTTGTGATGGAGGAGGGTCATCTGTCTATGTGTTACTTTCATTGGTTAATAATCTGCCTTGGTCCTTTGATAGGACAGAAAATTAGGTAGGCAGAGTAAACAGAACAGAATGCTGGGAAGAAGGGAAGTTAGGCAGACACCATAGCTCCCCTCTCTGAGATGGATGCAGGTTAAGATCTTTCCTGGTAAGCCACCACCTTGTGGTGCTACATAGATTATTAGAAATGGGTTAATCAAGATGTGAGAATTAGCCAATAAGAGGCTGAAACTAATGGGCCAAGCAGTGTTTAAAAGAATACAGTTTCCATGTAATTATTTCGGGTAAAGCTAGCCATGCGGGAGCTGGGCAGGAACGCAACCCGCCGCTCCTTCTACACTGTTGTGGGCCAATGTCGGTCCAAAGTGACACTCAGGGAGACCACTGAGCACAGTTTAGTGTGCTGAGGTCTCCCCGCGATGTTTCTCCCTCTCTCAACCTCTCCTCACAGCCTGTTTTGGGTCCCACCTCATGTTACTGACAGGATGCATGGTCTCTCCATCCTCACCTTTCTCCCCCGTGAAATGGACACAACTCAAGTGATGAGTAAGACAACAGGTGAAGGCGATGGGACAGGAAATGTCTGCGGCTGATGCAGGCAGGAAGCGTTGCAAGGGCACGAATACATTTAACACCAACTGTCTTACTCTCAGAGGGTTCTGGGAAATGGGCTGACATCAGCTGTAGAGTTCACAGATTCTCGAGAATTGCCATGAAAAATCACCCTCTGGTCTCTTTGCCGCAAAACTAATGAGGTGGACTGGAGATTTGTGTAAGTAGGAGAAGGGATTCCACAGATTGGAGAAAAATGTCAGTTTCGTATGGGGACTTTTCGGCTCCCAGCATCCTGGTTACTGAAGGCCACACATTCACGGGCCCTTCAGTGCACAGTGCAGGACGTGGAAAGGTGAGAGCAGGGTTTAGAAGGCCTGCGGTGAAGAAGGGACTTGGTCAGGACCTATCTCTGCACCACCTGCTTGCTTGGTGATTCTGTGCCAAGTTACCAGATTTCACAGATGAACCTGGGGAATCAAAGTCATGGAATAAATAGGTTTCCTGGAGGTGGGAAGTTTGGATAATCTGACCCACTACTTCCCCTCCCCAGCACTCCTGTTCTTTGTGTTAGGATCCAGAATCTAAGTTCTCCCTGCTGATCTCTGTCTGAGTAACTACCCAGGGCTGGCGGTCCCTTGGTTATAAAACATGCAGCTGTCAAGTACATCACAACAGTGTGGAGACGCCAGGCTCTTCTGCTACACACGCGGGAGGGCTGCACAGAATTTGAAAGGAGACTAGTCCAAGTCAAAGAAGTTTGCATGGACCCTGAATCACCCACCCAACAAGGGCTGTCCTGAATAAGAAGGGATAAAAGCAAAGTCACCCAAGAATCAGCCACGAAGTAGGCAGAATAGTAGAGAAAGGGAGAGAAAGAACAGATCAGACAGAGAGAGGCTGGTAGCAGGATGATCAATTTTATCGTTAGAGAACTTTATAAATTCACGTAATGTGTTTTGGTCAATTCCACCCCAGTCCCCCCTCTAATTCCTTCTCTAGCCCTCTCCTTTCCCTCCCAGCGTTGTGTCCCCTCTCCCCACAGTGAAATGGCCTTGTCATACTGAGCAAGTACTGTTTCCTGCAGACTCCCGCTGCCTCCAATCTTTCCAACCCCTTTTCTGAAGTGCTCCCTGGGCCTGGAGGGGAGGAGGTATGGTATAGAGGTCCCACTGAAATACAATCACACAGTGAATTATCTGAAGCATAAAATATCTAAACACCCCAATTAAAAGTAGATTCTACTATTTACTAGTGGCAAGGAGCCCCTCACTCCCGCTAATTTATAAATAGGTAAGCACACAGGAGAGTCAGGGTCACTGTCAGCCAAGCCACTGAAATGCTTTATTTCTCATTTGATTTCTCCTATCTCGAGCATCCAGAAGCTACCAGCGGCTCTGGGTGCCTTGTTAGATGGCACAGAATGCCGGACTGTAGAGCTCCACAGTGCCGCTGGGTAGATGGGTGGGTCCCTGTGTGCTCCTGTCTCCACACTTCCTCCCCACGCTTCCTCTGCGGCTCTCTCTTCTGGGTTCAGCACCGCTGTAAAATCAGAGAAGGCCACAAGACCTTTCCAGGTAAGAATCGGGGTGCAGTGCGGGAGTGTTGAACTTGGTGAGGAGGGGGCTGCTCTGTTGGCTGTGTCTAGTAAAACCCCCAGCAGACCTGCTCTGGAAATTGTACTTATTGGTCCGTGTTTCCTGCCTGCTAATTTTAGGCTGTAATTCCTTCTGAAGGCTGAGTCCTACAAATTCATGTAGGACATGCTTCAGGGTCCATTCCTGCAAGGGTACTTGTACTTTCTTTATGGAGAAAGTGTTCCTTCACTGGTCAAAAAAACAATTTTAACTTGGCTCTTCCAGGAAGAGAATGAATGAATGAGCTTGGTGAGAGCAAGAGAAGAAAAGGTAGGGGTGCGGGATCCCTAACAGGCACAGCTTGGCGAGTGTCCTCCTCTAAGCTGGCACACAGGTCAGGGTCCTCACTGGCTGTTATCTTTTTCCTTGGGGAACCATTCTTTCCTGGGTTCACGGAAGACTTGAGCTCCCTGCAGGGAGGTCTAAGTTACACTCATTGGGGCCACAGTTCTGAAGCCAGTAGAGGATGTTTGCTCATAGCCCGAGGGAGGGGAACTTAGTTAATGAAATCAGCACCTACGAAGCACAGGTCTTGGTTTTACATACGAACTCAGTCTAAATATTCCCCCGCCCCTCCCCCAGCCTCTGTCTCTCCTTGTTAATTGCCAGTACCAGCTCCATTAAGAGCTGAGTGTTTTCCCTTTCTAGTTTAGGAGAGGCTGTCTTCTATCCACCTCTTCAGACATAAAGAAATGAGTCTCTTTAAAAAAAAAAAATCATCTGGCTTTCTGTTTCACATCTGTAATTGATGGGTCTCTGTGTGGAGACTCTCTCCTTAACAAAGAACATTCCAGCCTGTCCTGGACACAGTCGGCTCCGGAGTTCTCAACAATGTTCACAGTAGTAGGTAGAAGAAGATTCAAAACGAGCTGGGTGTTTCTGCAGGTCTGTGTATTGGTTAACGAGGAAGGGACTGCTGCACACACAGGCCACCACCCGACAGAGGAAGGTAAAGCACCAAGACCCGCACTTTGTCCAGTGTTGTGCCTGTATCCAGGAAGTTTCCTGTCACATAGCCTGAGAGGGGACAGCAGATGTTAGAGAACAATCTCATGCTCCCACCATGTCCTGACGGAGAAACACTCCTGAGCAGTGAGCACAGGCGACCTCGGGAGCTGGCAGCTCGGGCTGGTGCTGCTGCAGGAGAGGGGTTAGACAGGGCCCCTCAGGAAGCAGTGGGCTGGAGCAGTGCCCTAGGAAGAGGGGTTCCCACAAAGCCTAGGAGATGAGAGGACCCTGGCGCACAGGGAGGTCAGTGTCTTCAGAGAGGGATGATCACAACGGGACCTCCGGGTCATTTCAGTAGCCCAAACCACCTTCTAAAGATGAACAAAAGTCACTAGGGAATTCAAGCAAGAAAAGTAAAATTCAAATCTATTTTTCCCTTAAAATATTTTTACTTTATGTGTATAAGTGTTTTGATTTCATGTATAATATGTATGTGTACATGTATGCATATGTGTACCATGTGCAGGTCTGGTTCTCCAGGAGCCAGAAGGAGACATCAGATTATCTGAAACTGGACTTAGAGACAGTTTTGAGTGCCATGTGGGTCTGGAAACTGAACCCTGGCTCTTTGTAAAAGCAGCAAGCACTCTTAGCCCCTCAGCCACCTTTTCGTCCTCAGCTCCAAGCGCTGCTAGAATAAAGTGCTCAAAGCATTGACAAAGTGAAAAGTAAAATGCAAAGTTAAAATGGTCTTTTTGTTTGTTTGTTTTTTGAGACAGGGTTTCTCTGTGTAGCCCTGGCTGTGCCGAAACATGTTCTATAGACCAGGCTGGCCTTGAACCCACAGAGATCTGCCTGCCTCTGCGTCTTGAGTGCTGGGACTAAAGATGTGCACCACCACTGCCTGGCAGAACACTGAATCTTAACAATAGACAATAAAGTAAGTGATACTGTCTCTTTTTTATAAAAAAAAATTATCTGCACACAGTCATTTTAAAAAAGGTCCAGTTACACCAAAGCACTGAAGTGATTATTTCTGGGGTACTAGAACTTTGAGAGGTTTGAGCTTCTTTTCTGCTTATTTCCTGTTTTCACATGACAAGAAAGATGTTAATTCTCCATCCAGACAGGACAACTTAGTTATGAGGGGAGATTGGGGTCTAGACAATGTATATCTTTGATGCTGAGTGACTGTGGACCTAATAAGATGGTTGACACTGTGTTGCGACTGTTTTGCTGTGGGAAATGCATGGCGTGAAGACACAACTGCCAAGCCTCAGGAGTGCAGCAGGAGTTCTTGCTACGGCATCTAACTACCGCCTGTTACCCCGAAGACAAGTAAAGTAGATTTTTGCAGTAGATTTGATCCGCCTGAAGGTAGAGACAAAGAGACAAATGAGATTTATGAAAGAAGCGTCAATAGGATTTGGGATGGGCTGATGTGTGGCAGGAAGCAAAGGCTGTAATGGAGCTGCATAGTCCAGCAAGAGCCATTGACTGTATGGTGACGTCATTCACCAAGGAGCCGTACTGGAGGTGGGGGGTAGTCAGGGCTTCTATCCTGGCCAGCCTTTATAAGAGATGTCCTTGAAAGAGCAAAAGCCACAGTGAGAAGCAGAGGCAGAAGTTTGGGACGCTGAAGGAACTCCTATAAAAGGTGCTACAGCACTCAGCCGCCTGAGGAGGTCCCGAGCCAGGACAAGCGCAAGGAGGTGCTGCAAGTATTTAAGTTTGTGTAAGAAAAAGAATAGCCCGAAAATGGAGTGAGGTGAGGTCTGGGGTATGGAGCAGGAGAAATAAAAGTCTGGAGTTTATGGCCGAAAGTTCAGTGCTGGCTTCAGGAGATTGGGTTCCAAGTGTTCTTCAGAAAATGCCATGACTGTTACTTTATCTGCAGAGTCAAGTGACAATGGCAGCCCAGGACCATGGTGTGGGGTCCACAACCGGAAAGCCCAGGGCCAGCTATGGTGAGAGGAGCTAGAGGGCTGCGGGGGTGAGGGGATGTGGGGGTGCGGGGATGTGGGGGTGCGGGGGTGGGAGTGTGGGGGCGTAGGGATGGGGCATAGAGAAGGGGGGAGGCACAGAGGTGTGCAGTCCCCACTTGAGCAGGATAAAGCCCCGTCAGCCGCTGCCCTCGTATTTCTCGGCTCTCCCACTTCTCTGCACTCTCCTCGCGCTCTCGCTCTGTTCGTAGGATGACGTCCATCTTGTTAAGCGGGAGAAGCCACAGAGCCTGCCACTCGTACTCACCTTGGCATAGCCCTCCCTTTCTTCTTTCTTTTTTCTCTCTTTTGTTTGTTTGGACGCAGACTCTCTCACTGTGGGCCAGGCCAGCTGGGAGCATGTGGCAGCCATCCTGCTCCTGTCTCCCTAGTGCCCAGTGACAGGTGTGAGTGGACCACCTCGCCTGACTTCAGCACAGCCTCTTACTTCCTCCTTCCTACAATGTGAACATGGCAGAGAGGCTGCCTGTGGCCTCTTTGGTTGTGGCTTCTCTGGTGATATCTCTGTCCTTTCCTAAAGGAGGATCGGGAGAGAACAATGTGGGGGCAATTGAACCCCATCTGTGTCCCTGATCCAGGTTCCTCATTTTCCAACTAACAAATAAATCAGTGTGTCACTGGGCACGCCCAGCTCCTCGCCCACCATATTCATTATGTCAGTTGAGATTCTGCTGTTTTTATCAGACTGCCTTACAGTGTAGTACCTTCAAATATCACTCATTTCTTTGACTCCAGATGCTGGGAGTCAGTCAGGCATTCCTGGGGTCTGAATCACATCTGTTAAAGTTGGGTACTCACTCATGTACCTGTGGTTCCCTATCAGAGTCCCGATAGGCTCACAGATGCACCTTGGCAAGCTACTGTTCCTGTCAGGGTGTTGGCAGACTCACAGGTGTGTGCACTTCAGGGCTGAAACTCCCCCCCCACACACACACACTGCTGCTGCTTTTCAAGAAACATTTACTTGACTTCATGTACATAAGTACATAAAATAGGTTACAAATCAAAGATAAAACAAATTTGAAATAAATTACATACATACATATGTATAATTTGCCACTTCTTAAAGATTAAAACTTATTTTTTCCCTGTTCATATAGTAAGGAGTTTCAGTTAGAGAGGATGTATACATTCTGGAAACATGTTACATAGCATAGTGAACATACTTAATACTGAATTTTATAGTTGATAAGACAGTAGATTTTAAGTGTTCTCACCACAAAACATAGTTCTGTGAGCAATGGAGATGGTCAATATTGTACCCTTTAAAGCATTCATCATACACTATGACTACGTACAAGTTGGGTTTAACGAGTCCTTGGCAACACTGAAGAAGTGTATGGCATACTCAAAGGAAGTAAGAAATCTAAAGTTAATGAATGTATTGTTGTTTTTCTTCAACTTCAAAAAAAATCATAGCTACACACTAGTGAGGAGGTTTGCGTGTTTTGCTTATGTGAGTGTGACTGAATATTTGCTGCTGCAGGATAGAGCATCTCGGACATTTTCCAGGGTCGACTGGTATTTTAGTTTTACAACAATCAGCTGTAAGAATGCCACTCACTAAGTACACAACACAAAGTGGCAATAGTCTCAAATCTGAGCCAAAATGCTTTGGTCAGCGGTTATTGGTGCTGCATGGTATGAGCGAGGCCAAGTATTGGTGGTGTTTGGTCAGAACCAAGGTTGTCGTTTCACCATAAAACACAGGGAAGGCAGTGAGAGACATTACAGGTTCACTAAACCTTGTTCTTGAAATGAGTTTTAGTTGCTGTGTATTCAGAATCCTTTACTGTTGTTAGCTTTTCCTCCTGCTTCTCATGTTCAGTTTTGTGGCCCCACATGGGGTCATGACCTGTAGTTCAAAAGCTTTGGGTGGTGAACTAGCTCTTGGGCAGGCCAGGATGGTGGGGTCTCATTCGGCTGCTGCTGTCCAGCAAGCTAGTCCAGGTGTCTTCACACGGCGGCTGCAGAGGAGTCAAAGGAGCAGGCAGCCCATGGTGCTTAAAGGCTCTTGGGACTTTTGATGCCGGTCCTCCAGAGTCAGAGCGTGTCATCGTGTCCTCCAGAGCCAGTCCCACTGGCTGCATTTTACTGGGAAGAGTTGAACATCTACACCCCAGAGAGGAGGGATTCAGGGATGGGAAGGACTGGGGCACGCATGGCTAACCATGGCTAATCCCCACATGGACCAACAGTGGCTAATCAGGGCACAGGAGCCACGACTGGGACCTTTTCCCATTCTTCCTTCCTATGGCCAAGGAACCAAAGCCTACAATAACTTTTCAAATGGGGGTCTCCGCTGAGCAGCTAAATGAATACTAGCGGGAGCTGCCCTCACGTCTTCTCCTAGGTGGTCTCAGGCAGTATTCTCAGCCGTATTATTTCTTCATCATGGGATTCTGGTTTCCAAACATGGGGAATTATCTTTATTCCCCTGAGTCTTTATTTTATTTTTATTTGTATTCATGTATTTATTTTACATCCCAGTTGCAACCTTCCTCATCCTCCCCTCCCAGCTCCTCACCCCCTTTCTGTCCCTCCCCACTGCCCACCCCCAATCTTCTCTTCTTCCATCTCCATCCAGGAAAGGGTGGGTTTCCCATGAGCATCAACAAAACATGGCATATCAGGTTGCAGTAAGACTAAGCATCTCCCCATGTATTGAGGCTGGGCAAGGTGGCCCAGTATGAGGAGTAGAATCCCAAAAGCCTGTAAAAGAGTCAGAGATGGTCCCTGTTCCCACTGTTAGAGGAGTCCCACAAGAGAACCAAGTTACACAGCTGTAATATATATGCAGTATGGGTCAGTATGAGGAGCTATCTTAAAACTTGTACATCACCCCTACTTGGCTCTCAGCTGTAAGGAGAACAAGTCATTTTTAAATATAAATCAGAAAGAAGACATTCTTCCCGGCAGATGCCCCAAACTCATCCTTTGTGTTCTGCGCTGGATTCCGTTAGTGGGGGTCGTTGTTGGAAGCAGCTCACAGTTCTCTTCTGAAACTTTTATTTCCTCCTCTGGGGGCTTAGAAGCCACAAAGGGTCTGAAGGAAGAGCAGTGAAGAAAAGAGATCAAGGGAGATACCCGAACCTCTTTGTCAAGTCCTTCAAGATGGCCTTTTAGACCCAGGGGTTGTTTGTAGACCCTGGGAGGGCAGAGATGGCAGCCAGGGGGAAAGCCCGCAAGCAGAGAAGCAGGAGAGTAGGCACTGGATGGTGGGACTTCCCGTTTAACTGTTGGGGACTGCGTCTAACACTTGGTTTTATTTCCTTGATGTTCTAGAGCTTGGAGACCAAGTCCAGGAAAATTCCCAACTGAGAATTGTCTTACTGGGAAAAACGGGAGCAGGAAAGAGTGCAACAGGGAACAGCATCCTCGGGGAAAAGGTGTTTCATTCTGGCATTTGTGCAAAATCCATTACCAAGGTCTGTGAGAAAAGGGTGAGCACCTGGGGTGGGAGAGAGCTTGTTGTCGTGGATACGCCTGGTGTTTTTGACACTGAGGTACCAAATGTTGACACGCAAAAAGAGATCGCTCGCTGTGTTGCCCTGACCTCCCCAGGGCCTCATGCTCTACTCCTGGTGGTCCCATTGGGACGTTACACCGTGGAAGAACATAAGGCTACACAGAAGATTCTAAGCATGTATGGAAAGAAGGCTAGAAGATTCATGATTCTCTTGCTCACCAGGAAGGATGATTTGGAAGACACTGATATCCGTGAGTACTTAAATTCAGCTCCTGAAGGCATTCAAGAACTGATCCGTAAGTTCGAGGGTCGTTACTGTTTGTTCAACAACAGAGCATCAGGAGCTGAACAGGAGGACCAGAGGACACAGCTGTTGACCTTGGTCCAGCGCATGGTGATGGAAAATGGAGGAAGATGCTTTACCAACAAGATGTACGGAAGTGCCGAGAAAGAGATTCAGAAACAAACCCGGGAGAAGCATGAGCTTTACAGACAGGAGTTGGAGAGAGAGCTAGCGCGGATAAGAGATGAGTATGAAGAGCAGATTAGAGACCTGAAAGATCAGCTGGAGAGGGAGAGGAGAAAGGCACAGATGGAGAGGGAGTTCACCAGAACAGAGGCTTACTACACAGAGAGACAGCAAAATGCTAGGAGGGAAGTGGAGAACCAAAACACGATACTTGAAATGATCTTAGAAATGTGGAGGGTTGCTCGCTTTATCATCAGTCGGTTTATGCAAGATGACTAAGACCTGGTCTGTAAGACTAGACCTCATCTGCTTTCTGCGTTTGTTCCTGATAATCCTGCCCACCCCTCACTGTCCAAATGCTCTGCTTTCCATCCTCCAGAACTAAGGAGTAAAAGGCACCTTTGGCAGTTGGCAGATGTTCAATTGACTTAGCAAAGAAACCGACCAATCCTCTAGTACAGCTCAAATCAGATGTATTAATGCTCGCCACTCTTGCGTTCTTCCTCAGAGAAAGTCACCCAGGAGCCCCCAGGAGATGACTGTAAGATGTTCCCATTCGTCCTCCTCTGGATTCTCAACTATAATCTTCACTTGCAGCTTCTATACACTGCTGCTCAGGTTTTTTGACAAGAGTCTTCTATGTTCTACTAGAAGGTCAATTCTTTGCATGAGGTAATCTTTAGGTGGAAATAGATGACCGTGCAGTTCTCAGTGAGTGTCAGTTTGTTTCGTTACAAACTCAAGTTGTTCCCTATCCACCCTTTGATGGCAAAGCAAATCTTATAAGTCAACTAACTCAGGATGAGCACAAATTAGCAATTTAATAGACGACACTGCAGTGTTCGGTATGTCAGGTGTGCCTCTAGAAGCTCTCTGTCAACCTTCTAACCAGTTTGGTGAAGTCAGTTCTCTCCTTGAGAATTGATCTGATTGGTCCAACCCCTCCCCGTACCCCAATACATCCAGCTTGTGTTGCTTCTGACCAGCCCAGCTAATTTTCTTATTGTTTTTATAATAAACTTTTCTATTGCCTCATCCTTGTTCAGAATTGGAGTCTGTTTTGTCCTGGAGAACAGTGCTGCTGTAATAGCAGTGATGAATTTTGTTTTATTAGTAAAAGTTTTAGGTACTCTTTTAAACCAGACTTACTCTATCCCTATGGCACCTCCTTGTTTCCTGTTTTGTTTTCTTATGCATGTGGGTGCATGCGCGTATATGTGTGTGAGTGTGTATGTGTGCGTGCATGTTTGTGCATGTGCAGGTACATGTGTGTATATGTGTGTGAGTGTATATGTGTGCATGCATGTTTGTGCAGGTGCATGTGCGTATATGTGTGTGAGTGTGTATGTGTGCATGCATGTTTGTGCATGTACAGGTACATGTGCGTATATGTGTGTGAGTGTGTATGTGTGCGTGCATGTTTGTGCATGTGCAGGTACATGTGCGTATATGTGTGTGAGTGTGTATGTGTGCATGCATGTTTGTTCATGTACAGGCACATGTGCGTATATGTGTGTGAGTGTGTATGTGTGCATTCATGTTTGTGCATGTGCAGGTGCATGTGGGTATATGTGTGTGAGTGTGTATGTGTCCGTGCATGTTTGTGCATGTGCAGGTGCATATGCGTATATATGTGTGAGTGTGTATGTGTGCGTGCATGTTTATGCATGTGCAGGTGCATGTGCATATATGTGTGAGTGTGTATGTGTGCGTGCATGTTTATGCATGTGCAGGTACATGTGCATGTGTGGAGGGTAGACGGTGATCTCAGGCCTCACCCTCGGCGATGCCATCCACCTCCCTTGAGACAGTGCTTCCCACTGGCCTGGAGCTCACTGGCTAGGCTGTCCTGGCTGTCCTGAGGATGCTGTCACTGCCACCTCCCTAGCAAGTGCAGGCCACCACGTGCAACTTTTCACACAAGTTCTGGGAGTCAAACTCAGGTTCCCAAGCTTGTGAAACAAGTGCTGTCCTAGTCCCGTCCTCTTTTTGGCTCTGAAATCTTTGAGCCACGTTCTCAGTTCCTCACTGGTCAAACACCACGACCCTTTTGGATCTTTATTATGTTATGTGTCTTAGGTTTCTGAAGCCTGTGAGCTTTTCCTGCTAAATAAGTGCCCCTCTCATTTAGAGGTAGCAAGAATTATTTCCTTAGCCAGGCAGTGGTGGCGCACACCTTTAATCCCAGCACTCGGAAGGCAGAGGCAGGCAGAGCTCTGTGAGTTCAAAGCCAGTCGAGTTATCCTCACTTATTAGTTTCTAGGAATCCTCAGTGTTTGTCCCAACATTTCCCAGTGCTCACCTGTGACAGCTCACAGCTCACTTTCTTCTTCCTGAAAAGTTTTTGTGCCCCAATAAACCTCTCTGCCAACGCAGTAATCCAAATCAGATCAAATCAAACCGAATTAGAAAAAGCCCAACTTTAATGGATACCAATGCTCCAGGGTGGCCTTCCAGCCCCCCCAGAAATGAGATGGGGAAGGAGGACTGGAAAATCATGTGTTTGTTCTTTGGGTTGCTGTGTAAATACCTTGTGGGAGTAGTCTTGAGCATCTCTGAGGAGGGGGTCATCGTTTGGCAGGCATTCTTGAGGGTGGAGTCTGGACTGAGGCAACTCCCAGGGGAGGGGCCTTGGGATGGAACTTCCACCCCACATTCCAGACTCTTTGGATAAATGGATGCAGGGGCTGGGGCGAAGCCTTAACCCAAACACTTTCATACCTCAAAATTGGTTTCTCTGAGCTGCTTCCAGCAGCAGGTGACCATTTCAGAAGGTCAGTAGTCAAATGCAGAGAACAACTCACCGTGGTGTGCCCAGCGCTAACTGATACACCCACCCACAGCTCCTGCGTCCAGGGTTCAGGGAGCATCATGTAAGAGGGGTGGAAAGGGTGTAGAGGACCACAGTTTGCTGTTATAAAGAACATAGCCACAAGCAACTCGGGGAGGAAAGGGTTCATTTCATCTTAAAGTGTATAATCCATCATGAAGGGAGCCAGAACAGGGACTCGGACTGAAGACTGGAGACAGGACCTGATGCAGAGGCCAAGGAGGATTGCTGCTTACTTTCTTGCTGTCCATGGCTTGCTTAGCTTAACTTTTTAAATATAACCTGGGACCACTTGTCCAAGAATGGCTGTGGCAGGCTTTCTTTTGGGCCACCAAGCCGCTCCTAAATCATGGCACGAAGACTTACTATTTGTTAAGCGTCAATCAGGTGCTGTAGGCAGGCAAGGTAAAACAAATGCCACATACCTTTACATATTCAAAAAAGTAGCATAAATAAATGTAACACATTTTTGTCTAGTTAAAGTAATATCCACATCATAAACAAATGTAAAATACTTTTACATAGTTAAAGTAATATTCCACAACAGACGGCAACTCTCACAGTGGGCTGAACGCTCCTATATCAGTCATTAATCAAGAAAATACCCCATAGACTGAGCTACAGGCCAGTCTGGTGGAGAATTTTTTCCAGTTGAGGTTTCCTCTTCTAGTTGACTCTAGTGTGTGTAAATTGACAAAGAAATGAAGCATATGCTCCTTAATTTATCCATCATGCTGAGTGTGTTAGTTAATATCACCATCACCATGAGTGGTGATATTAGTGGTGGTGTAATGCTTATCTCTCTCCTTTGGGGGATGCCTCCAGAGCTCCCAGCTAAGCAAGAGTCTGGACTGTAGTAATACCAACTCCTCTGATATTTACCCTGTAGCACAGGGCTGATCTGCATTTTAGAATGCTCACTTTCTTTTAACCTAAAGAATACAAGGCGACAGTTTGTCTCTCTGCCTTTCTTTTTCCATGTATTGGTTATGTGAGGTAATACGTGAAGTAATATGTAAAGTGATGTTTTCCTGACATTTTCTACACAAGCCTTGATCACACTCACACCTGCATGCTGCCTTCTCTTCTCTTTGTCCACCTTCTGTTCCCCTTCCTTTCCCCAAACATACCTGCTTCTGCTTCATTTTTCTTAAAACATTTTAGCTTCAATATTTGGGGGAAAATTTGCAATATTTGCTTTTCTGAATCTGCTTTCTTTCCCTTGATGTGATAACCTATAATTCAATCCACATTTATGCAAGTGACACAATTTCCTTCTTCTTTTCTATAATTCAGTCAACTCTATTTTGTTACATATTGTGTAGTTGAGTGAGAAATGTCCCTCATAGGCTCGGGTATTTGAACACTTGATTCCCAGTTGGCAGTGCTGTTTGGAGAGATTATGGGAGGCACATCCTTACTGGAGGAAGGACATCACCAGGACAGATTTGAGTGTTGTGGAATAATCTTTTTTGCATACTGTGAAGATGTGTCTTTGCCACTGTGTCTTCTGATTGGTTTAATAAAGAGCTGAATGGTCAATAGCTAGGCAAGAAGAGGTTGGGTGGAACTTCCAGGGGAGAGAAAAGAAAAGGAGATGAATTAGGTGCAGGAGAAATGCCGGAGAACACAGAGAAGAAACAGGAGGTGCAAGATGGAAGAGAGGTAAAAAGCCACAAGAATAAACAAAGATAAATATAAAGAGGGTTAATTTAAGTTATAAGAGTTAGTAGGACAAGCCCAAGGTATAGGCTGAACTTTCATAATTAATCATAAGTCTCCGCGTCACTTTTTGTGAGCTGGCGGCCCAAAGAAAAATCTGATTCCATTTGCGAGTTTCTAGCCTTACCCACCATGCACTCTGGGCTTCATGCTTACGGCTGGAGTGGCCTCTTAGCTTCCTGCTCTGACTGGCTGTAACCATGCTTCTCTCACCATTCTGGACTTCCCGTCTAGAATTGGAAACCAAAATTAACTCTTTTTTCCATAAGTTACTTTGGCCATTGTATTTTATTACAGCAACAAAGTAAACAATGCACTTATCTTCTTTGTAAAAAATAATCTTTATTTTAGGACATATCACAGGACTCCAGCAATGCCTCTGACCTCTTGGCATGCAGCCCGGACAGTTGGAACTCAACCAAACACCTTCTAGCCCCAGCCCGCCATAGGACTCGAGAAGAAGCTCTGCCCCCACAGGGTGGTTGGGCACTATAAAGATCTCTTTGTGATGAGGGCGCCCAGCATCATGGCGAACTGAGTGGGACAGTGAGACCCACGTGCGGGTCTGGGCTGTTTGCTCTGGGCTCCAAGGAGAAAACACAGGCACACCCAGCACTTTGTAGCACTAGTCAGAGGGGTACCATTAGAGTGAGCGAGATATGGTGTGGAGAGAGAGAGAGAGAGAGAGAGAGAGGATGGTTCATGTCCTGTGGACAGAGGCATATCTGAAGAGGTGAGAGGAAGGGAGTGGGCAGAGGTGAGGGGCTTGATTGCTACCCAGTGCCAAGCTGATATCTGGGCCAGGGCTGCTGCTGGGACCCATATCTGGTTTCCTGACTTGACACAGCTGTGGTCTATGTTGATATCCCTGGCCCCTTATACTACCAAAAGCTGAGAGGACAGGACTGTGCAGAGTTGGCCTCGACCCCACTGACTGAAGCACTAGGGAGAAATGGCCACACCACTCACTGGCTCAAGCACTCAGGAGAGAGGGTCCTGCACTACCTGGACATCCCAATAGAGCTGACCCTATGTTCAGGGGCAAGAATGAGAGGGCCCTGAGGGCATGGTAGGGGAGAGCCGAACACACCCCTCTTGTATCCCATGTGGTGGCATGGGTGAGGAAAAGATGCCCTCCTCCCCTCCCCCTCACCAGCTGCAGCTCTCAGGAGAACAGGCCCTGTGCCTCACCTGGGCAGCACCATAGAGCTGACCCTGTAGACAGCACAGGACAAGCGCCCTGAGCATGTGAGAGGGACATAGCTGGTACAGCCTCCCTTGTCTGTGGTGAGGTGGTGAGCTCAAGGGAAAGATGCCTCCCCCACCCCTTACAAGGGAGCTGATCCCTTCACCGGCTGCAACACCTGGGAGAGTGAGCCCTGCGACTCATCTGGACAGCGCGGCAGAGCTGACCTTGTTACAAGTGAACCAGCCCTGAGAACGTGGTGTGAGAGACCCAGGCCCACTTCTCATCTG